TCTAATTTTTTTTTATTATAGCAAAAATTATAATTTTTGTGTTTTTCTTCCACAATTTGCAATTTTTTTGCGAAAAAATTTGAAATTGCTCGCTTTAGAGCAGCCAAATGAGGGCTTTAAAGCACTGATGGAATTTATCTTTTCAAGATTGGTGACGCAATTTCCTCACTTTGAAAAATGCAACAAATAGAATGAAGAATTTAATTTGAATTCTCCTCTTATTTTTTTTATTATAGCAAAAATTATAATTTTTGTGTTTTTCTTCCACAATTTACAATTTTTTGAGAAAATTCGAAATTGCTTCCAAATGAGTGCTTTAAAATACTAGTGGAATTTATCTTTTCAAGATTGGTCACGCAGTTTTTTTCCATTTTGAAAATGCAACAAATAGAGTTATTTTGAATTCTCTTATTTTGGTTTTTGTTTTATGGAAATTATAATTTTTGTGTTTTTCTTCTAAAGCTATTTTTTGCGAAAAAATTTGAGACTGCATGACTTATTAGACTCCTTAGAGCATCCAAATGAGTGCTTTAAAATAACTAGCGAAATTTACCTTTTTAAGATTGGTAACGCAATTTCCTCACTTTGAAAAATGCAACAAATAGAATGAGGAATTTAATTTGAATTCTCCTCTAATTTTTGTTTTATTATATCAAAAATTATAATTTTTGTGTTTTGCTCGAAAATTCGAAATTGCTTGTCTTAAAGTATCCAAATGAGTACTTTAAAATACTAGTGGAATTTATCTTTTCAAGATTGGTAACGCAGTTTTTTCCATTTTGAAAAAATGCAACAAATAGAGTTATTTTGAATTTTCTTATTTTGGTTTTTGTTTTATGGAAACTATAAAATTTATGCATTTCTTCTAAAGCAATTTTTTGCAAAAAAATTTGAAACTACAAGGCTTATTAGACTCCTTAAAGCATCCAAATGAGTACTTTAAAACACTAGTGAAATTTATCTTTTTAAGGTTGGTAACGCAATTTTTTATCACTTTGAAAAAATTTAATAAATTGGGTGAGAAATTTATTTTGAATTCTTCTCTTAGTTTTGTTTTTTTTTTTATTTTGTCAATTATAATTATGGTGTTTTTCTTTTTTACTTCCAGATCAGGGAACTTGATTTGGTTTTCGTAAAGTTTTTATAAAAACAATGTTGTGTTAAAAGAATAAATATTTAATTTTATACCACGTGAATTAAATTTTCTTAGCACCCTCCTAAAATATTTTTTTTAAAATTGCTATCTAAAAAAGTTTTACTTAAAAAGACGTCTTAATTTAATTTTTTTGTGAAATTTTGATTCTCTTCGCCTCTCTCAAAAGCAAAATAACATTAAACCACGACAAAATTCCCAATTTTCGGTTATTTAAATTACAAAAACTAGAAAATAATATTGCCATTTTCAGACAAGGTTTATATTTTTTTTAGTAGTATTTTTTTGGATTTTAAGTTTTTGTTAATATGTATACATATTTATCTCTAGAAAGATACATTTTTGCAAATTTTATTTATTATTATTTATTATTTGCAATTTATTCTATACATAATTTTGATTTTATTTATTTTTTTTTATAAAAAATAAAAAATGATTAGAAATAGTGTAAACGATTTTCAAATGTTGTAGCTTTTTTTGTGTTTTGTTGATTTAATTTGCTTTTTAAGTAATATGCTACGCTTTTAGTTAATTTTTAATTCTCTTCATTCATGCCAACTTAATTTCAAGATCAAAAATGAAGATTTTTCATTTCTACTCTTTTTCTCGCACATTTTCTTTGTGTGTTGGAGGAATGTTTTATGTTAATGTTTTGTTCGGAATTCTGCACATTTTGTGTCCGGAAATTTCAGTTTCCGGTTATTTTAATCCGTTTTGGGTGCGATATTTGACCCTCGCAATTTCCGCTTCTAATATTTCATTTTTAGAGAAATTTTATTTTCATGAGGGCTAGTTTTTTCAGCCCGGATTACGGGAAAGCAAATAAAATGCGGGTCGAAGTGTCGTAAGTTGTTTTTTTGCACTGAATTTCCTTTTTAGAAAAATGAACAAACTAATAATTCTTGTAAACAAATTGTTTGTTTAAAAACTTTGCAAACTGGGTAAAAGTCAAACTAGTTCAGCACTACAGTTACTCCAGATCCTTATTCGAGATTAAAACATTAAAAATTCTGTCAATCAAATCCTTGAAGTGTAATTAAAATGTTCGATTCAACGTCCTTTCCTCAACCAATGACCTATCTCATCGGATTCCGTCTCAGGAATGCAAGGATTTAAATAAATAATCGCTAAAACTTGATTTATGCGAACGAAATGGTATGGAATGTGGGCCAGAAACAGACTAATCTTGACAGGTGCCAAAAATCCAGAAAATCCCGATCGACGACCTCCTTTTTCAACAATCGGTGATTTTACGAGACAAAACACTCAAAAATGTTAGCGTACCGTTAGGTACTAACGAGTTTCTAAAATAAACTCTCCGAGGATTTTTATCTAGAATATCGCATAATTATGATAATTAAGCACTTGAATGGCGCGGCAGTAGCGGAAACACGTTCGTGTAATTTATAACTAATCATAATCGTCGATGAACAAGCTGGGATTTTTTTTCAGTATCCCACGACAGAGCCGGACTTAGGACAAACGGATTTCACCACGAAATTACCACAAGTTGGGCTCGATGGCCCGTCATGTGACCTGCTACAAAGGTTATTGCAAGTCAAGCCGGCGCAAAGATTGAGGACGTTAAGGGCACTACGAAATATAGCATTCTATAAAGGCTACAATTTCGAAGATGTCAAGGAGAAAAAGGTCAGTCCGAAAGATCTGCTCCCCGAAATCCCCGAAAAAGGGGATGAGTTTGAGGGGTTTGATGAGAGTTTTGTGACGCAATTGTAGAATCCCTTTTTCCACATTCCGGTTTACTCGAATCCTAGTGAGTGTAGTGACAATAAAATCCCGAATTCATTCCCAAGGTAAGTCCTATTRCCTGGATCCAGGAAAGTATTTATCAATTTTTGTGAATTATATGACGAAAAATTACAATTAAACAATAAATAACTATAAAATTGTTAGAATGTTTTAATTATATCCCAGTTTTTTATTTTTGCGTTAAAATATACAGAACGTTTATTGAAACGTAACAATGTATAACCCCGTATCCGATTTTAACAAATTGATTTTAAATTTAATAAAATAATTTTTTTGTATACCAGGTGAATCAAAATTTATGCATACCCCCAAAACTCTCCTTTTTAATTGCGCGAGTTCTGGCGCACTCTGTATAGTGTGTCAGCCCTGTTAGGGGCTAATTTCTAACATAATTTTAGTTTAGAAAAATCAAGTATGTTTTGGAAATTTTTCAAAAAACTTATTTTGCTGTAGAGTGCCTTTTATTAAAACGACAAAAAGTTGTTAAGAATTCACATCTAAGCCCCTATAATTTTAAAACTATGGTTTTTTATTTATTTTTATGTTTGTTACAAATCAAATTTTATTTTTAACAGTTTTTTTTATTATGAGTAAAACATGATTACTACTTAATAACTTTTGTTACTAAAAAGCAACTATATTGGAAAAAATATGAAAAATATAGTAGTCTGATGGTTTTAAAATTTTTAGGCCCCTAAATGTTTATTCTAAACAACTTTTCTTAATAACTTTTTGTGGTATTTGCAATATAAATAGCATATCTATTACCCTAAAAAAATAGATCTTTTGAAACTTTCCAAGACATACTTGATTTTTTAAAACTAAAATTATTTTACAAATTAGTCTTTAACCAAGCAAGGCTGAACTCTAAAAAATAAAAATTTAAATCAGGAATTTTTTATCTTTTACAGAAGTTGTTGAAATTAATATTTAACTTAACAAGGAACATAGTTTTGTATTCTAAAAAAAATGTTGTATGTATTATTTTTTCCTAGAAAATTTCATTATTCATTTTGATACATTGTAGGCATAAATTAATTAAACAAAAGTCCAAGTGAAAATTGAGCAGAACGTTGCTATTTGTTTTCTTTAATTTTAGTTTAATTAAAAGAAGTGCTTTGGTGGGTACGAACAAAAATTGAGTTATCTCACAAAAACAATACATTTTTAGAAAAAAATGCGTGTTTCGTGAAAGCATAAGTCAAGCTAATCAACTTTTTTTTATTTTTAATTGTACACGTCGTTGCAAAATACTGATAAATTTCCCACATTATTAACATTAGTTTTGAAGTGCATTGTACGCAATTTATATTATTTGGTAATTTTATATTTTACAAAGGAATTTTCGACACTACGAGTATTTTATGATAATTTAACTGAATCGGGAATGAAAAATTGTGCGAAAAAAGTTAATTGGGATTCGGATTTCGGTCAAGTTGAAAAATAAATAAACATCTCAATGAAATAATGAAAAATATGACTAACAAATCATTCATGGTTTAATTTAAAATATACAAAAGAGTCAGTGAAGGAGAAAAATATAGCTAAAAAAGCAAGGACGTAAAAGGACAAAGGATATACCCATCGAGCCAATTTTTATAATTTATTGTAAAAATTCCGCTAGAATTAAATGAGTCAAAATGGTTGTTTTTACTTAATTGAAAAATACTTGTAAAAAGATAATAAGATAACAATAACACAATATTATTTGTTTCGCAACTTTCCTTCCAGCTAATTCTAGAATTAACAATAGTTGAAAATAAATAAAATTATTTAATTATGATTTTTCTTATTTTTATTGTAATTTTTGCCTCGTGTTCTTAATTACTATTTACATTGTTCTTACATCACAATAATTTTCAAGAATGCAGTCGATCACTAATTAAAAAAAATCTCATCACAGTTATTATTCTAAACAATTTTTTGCCATATAAAAAATGACAGGTGATTTTAATAACAAAAGACAGTCAATTAACTGTAGTTCACAAAAAATGTAATTACGGTTCTTTGAACCAATCACTTCTCTAATCAGATTGTACATGTTTTTGTCGTTATTTCAAAATTGATAACGCCGATAAGGGGTATAAAACCGGCTCCTCTATAGAAAAATGTTGAAAAAATGGCTCTAATCCAAGTTTTTTTGGTAATTTTTGCCATTACTGTGGTCCATTGTGCCAACCTCCCTGATTACCGTTCTGCGATCGAACCGGTGAAAAACTGCACCAAACCGGGCCCCCTTTGCGAAACCTGCTCCAGTCTAGTCGGCTGTGTCCAAAACGCTGACGGTACTTGGAGGAAAAATCCCCTCGCCAAATGCGACCTCCCCTCCCGATGTGTCAATGGTGTGTGTACAACCGCTGAAGAGCCCTTTTGTTGGGGTACTGCCGATTTGGACTTCCCCTGTCAGACTGTGGGGATTTTCCCCGATCCGTTTTACTGCAACAAATTCGTTCTTTGTGTGAAGGAAGGAGCAAGGTTAAGGCCTTTTCTCAACGAGTGTCCTCAAGGCTTCGGATTCAATGTCGAAACGGATCTGTGTGATGATGAATTGACTGATGGACAATGCCCAGATGGGGCACTTCCGGTGCCCATTTGCAAGCAAGCGGGGCAAAGTGGGGCCATAGAGGGGAAACCAGCGATGTTCTATATCTGTGAGCAGTACAGTCAGGTGAAGAAAGTTTTGTATCCGGTGATGGATGTCTGTCCGGGGGCGCAGGTCTATGACCAGTATCAGTGTGCCGACAAGGGGGGTACTACTCCGACTAGTACTAGTACTGATAGTGAAACCACTACTACTTGGTAGTAGTACTGGTACCACCAAAACCATCGACACCAAGCACTACTATAATTTCTTGCCTACTTTATAAGTAATTTTTTTGTAATTAAGTACWTATATTAAATATAAAGATATTACGTAGAGTTGACTGTTTTTCCTATTCCCTTTATAGCATTCAAATGGGTGTTTTAATAGATAAAAGTACTATAATTACATTTTTCTATTTTGCCGCTTTATATCATTTTATAAGTTAAAAGACGAAATATTTTTTTAGAGAATTTTGCGACGGTTGACGACATTTATGTGGAATAATTTTAGGCGGCTGTGAAAAATAAAAATAATTCTTATTTTGACATTTGAAAATGAATTGTGAAGAAAGTCCAAAATTAAATTAAATTAAATTAACGCCAACAACTTATTAAAGCACTCAATTTGGGTGCTGTAATAGACTTATTTTAAACGCAAAATAGAAAAAGCTTGTTTCGATACCAAAACCGATGCTTTAATGAGCCATTTCAACACCAATTCGGGTGCTGAAATAGACTAGTAAAATGTACTTTTTAGAAAGTTTTTAGAGTTTCAACGGTGTGTTGAGCAATTTCTCTTATTTCAGGTGGTGTGCATGAAATATTTGACGTATTCAATAAAATATTCGAGATTGACTTCAAAAATCAAATTTTTTAAACTTTGTGACATTAATTACCAACCACCACCTTATTAGGGCAAAAGTGCCTAAATTTTTGACTTTAATGTTAAAAAGGTACGTAAAACGCACAAAATAGAAAAAATAGCATAAAAAACATTTGTGGGGACTCGTTCCACAAAACTTGCCTTACAAAACGCATTCTTTAATATACAGTGCGATCAAAAAGTCTTTCTATCAAGTAGGCGTCCTAGTTGAGGACGTATGTTGCATGGCAGTTCGTATGTTATCTAGATGTCAAAAAATTATTTTATAAAAATTAAAACATTGAGCTAATTAAATTGCATTATTTTATGAAACGTCTCAAAACAAACTAAAATAAGATTTTGTTGTTTATTCATAAAAATCGTTCACCACGGTTTTCTGTCATAATTTACGTAAAAATTATTTTGACATTTCTCATTGTGACATTTTATCTTCCACAGACATATGTTTTAAATTTCTACGCTTGCTTGATAGACAGACTTTTTGATCGCACTGTACTATTTTGGTCAAAGTGGTCTTTATAGCATTCAAATGTGTGTTTTAGGGTGGGTTTTTGAAACGATTTATCGTTAGATAAATTTTATCGGTTCTATAATTGCTATAGAATCACCAATCAAATCAATTCTACTTTAGTAACTACCGAACCGATAAAATTTATCTTTATCTAATGCTAAATCGTTCTAGAAACCGGGCATTAATGGACTTAAAAGTACTATAATTAAATTTTTGGTCAAAGTGGGCTATAAGTTTGATATTAAGTTGGCAAGATTGATTGTAAAGATAAAAGATATGAAAATTGATAATTTTATATCTTCTGTTTCACAATTCAACGTTGCCGATGTAATTTAAAYTCATGAAAAATTTGGATTAAATCAGAAGTCTTTTTTTCGTTGTTTGAACATTTCTGAAATTTTTTTAATTATGTGTTTGGGCTCCCCGGATATGTRAAAATTCCAAAGCCAACTGTCTTTGTCTCGTTCTGGGAGATAGAGAAAGAAAAGTAAACAAATCAGGGTTATCAGCTGAAACTAAAACCTTCGATAAACTTCTATTTTGTGCGTTAGTAATGAAAAATTCTCACAAGATGAAATTATATGTGCATTTTCTCCTTATGGTGAGTTTATTTCAATTTTGATACAGTTTATTAATTGTAAATTTGGTACAGTTTGTTTTATTTTGTATGGCCGAACGGCCAAAAAATTGTACAAAACCTGGCTTGTTTTGCGAAACCTGTTCCATCCTAACCGCCTGTGTTCAAAACGATGACGAAACCTGGACCAAAGACACTGTTGCGACTTGTACATCACCTAAAAGATGCGTCCGGGGAGAATGTACGACTGATTTTGATGTTTTTTGTTCCGGRCTTGCTGATTTGAATTTTCCGTGTCGAAAAGTGGGGATTTTTCCTCATCCTTTCTATTGCAATAAATTCGTTTTGTGTGTGAAAGGCAGCTATAATAATATGCAAGCTTATCTCAACGAATGTGAACAAGGATTCGGTTTTAACAGCAGGACGGATATTTGCGATGTTCCACTTGAAGATGGGTTGTGTCCAGAAGGGGTGTTTCCGGTACCGGTTTGTAACACTTGGGGCCAAAGTGAGGCTTTACCGGAAAATCCGGCAAAATACTATGTGTGTGAGGAGTACAGCAGTTCGAATAAAAAGCTTTATCCTGTCATTAATGTGTGTCCTCCGGGGGAAATTTACGATGATTTTCAATGTAGTAAGGGATTTTCAACTTCAACTTCAACTACAACTACAACTCTAACTTGAACTTCTCCTTCGAGAAGTTTTGAGGCTTACACCCTTCAGGAGTTAAATTACAGTTTATTGTAAGTAAGCTTTGGGTGTGTTTGAATTGGGTTTTAGGATTACAACTAATAAAAATATAAAAATAAACTGTAATTAGATAGACTCACTTTTTTAAGTAAATGAAATTAAATTTGAATAATTTCTTTATCTGTTTTGTGTTTTAACAACAAAATTAATATTCACCTAATATTTTTTTTTGTATACGCTCCTGAACATGGCTGTCCTAAAATGAGTCTTTTCCGGACTCAATAAAATAGTACGTAAAATGGTTATTTTAGGTACTCAGTCCCCAAAAACAGTTTTTCCAGACGATAAAGTCAATTTGCCTAATTCTTTTAATTAATAAGAGGTGTGAATTCATTTTTTGTGAGTTTTAGCAAAAAATGTTGTTGGTAACTCATCTGCTATTTCAGACTCGGCTTTGCCTCGTCCGGAAACAGCAACGAGTAGTCCGCAAAAACTGTGTTTTAGGTACTTGTAACAAATATAATTAAAGAAATATTAATTATAAAAAAAAATTAAGATCAAAATGCATCTAAAAAAGAAGAGTATTAAATTATTGACAACGTATATCTTGTGACCTTGCCCGACTGTTACATTGTTACTTACTTTACGTAGGTAAGTATTAAGCTGCAATTTTTTGCATCTTGTTTTTTTTTTTTTTTTCATTGTATTAACCTTAAAAACTAAAAGAGCATTTTTTACTGTTTTAACTCTTTCTGGATTTTTACTTGAAAAAAATATTTGAAATCGTAAGGTTTTGAAGGTCGGTACAATTCAAATTTTCAGAGAGAATTATTCCAAGATAATCGTTTTCATGAACCCTTTTTTAATTTTGATTTTAAGGTGATTCTAAAAAACCTGAAATTTCTATACTTTCCATTTGTTTACTTTTAAAAAATGTAACAATTTTCAGACTGTTCCAGAATAATTGTTTTATTTTTAACAAAACCTGGAGAGATTTTTTTATCTAGTTATACAACCATTTTTTATTCCTTTCACTAATTAATTTCAGATTCACATTTTTTTAATTTTTGGTTTGAATGATTTTGGCCTTAATAAAAGAGTGTTTCCTTTGTTCCTGTTTATTATAACACCAATGTAGTTATATTTACAATAAATATCTCTAGGCTTTGATTTTCAATGTGTCCAACAGAATAACCAGCGAAAACAAAATTTCGTCGATATGCCAGTTATTATTAAAGCAAAAAAATTCCCTGACTATTCTATCCCTAATTTCCTACATATTACATTAATTTATTACATTAATAAGAATTTGTTTTTTGTCAATTTCATCTTATTAATGCATAATATTTCTTTAAGATGCTTATTTAAAAAACTAAACATTTTTATTTAATTTAAAAGTATTACAATTATCAAAAAATAATTTTTGTACATGAAATATTTGRCGTATTCATTGTTAATTAAATAGTATATTCGAGACTTGACACTTCGAAAATCGAATTTTTTAAACTTTGTGACATTTATTACCAACCACCACCTTATTAGGGCATAAGTTCCAAAATTTTGAAAATCTGACTTTTATGTTAAAAAAGTACGTAAAACGCTAAAATAGAAAAATAGCATACAAAACATTTGTGGGGACTCGTTCCACAAAACTTGCCTTACAAAATGTATTTTTTAATATACTATTTTGGTCAAAGTGGTCTTTATAGCATTCAAATGTGTGTTTTAGGGTCGGTTTCTGAAACGATTTATCGTTAGATAAATTTTATCGGTTCCATAATTGCTATAGAGACACCAATCAAATCAATGCTACTTTAGTAACTACCGAACCGATAAAATTTATCTAATGCTAAATCGTTGTAGAAACCGAGCATTAATGGACTTAAAAGTACTATAATTAAATTTTTGGTCAAAGTGGGCTATAATTATTATATTACGTTGCCAAGATTGATTGTAAAGACAAAAGATATGAAAATTGATAATTTTATATCTTCTGTTTCACAATTCAACGTTGCCAATGCAATTTAAAGTCATCGAAAATTTGGATAAAATCAGTCTTTTTTTCGTTGTTTGAACATTTCTGAAATTTTTTAATTATGTGTGTGGGCTCCCCGGATATGTCAAAATTCCAAAGCCGACTGTCTTTGTCTCGGTTTGGGAGATAGTGGGAGAAAAGTACACAAAACAAGCTTATCAGCCGATACAAAAACCTTCGATAAAGTATTTTATGTGTCTCAGTAGTGAAAAATTGCCACAAGATGAAATTATTTGTGTATTTTCTCCTCATGGTGAGTTTATTTTAACTTTGAGTCAGTTAATTTAACGATTTCGTCCAGTTTGTTTCATTTTGTGTGTCTGAACGGCCGAAAAATTGTACAAAACCTGGCTTGTTTTGCGAAACCTGTTCCAACCTAGTTGCCTGTGTTCAAAACGACGACGAAACCTGGACCAAAGACACTGTTGCGACTTGTACATCACCTAAAAGATGCGTCCGGGGAAAATGTACGACTGATTTCGATGTTTTTTGTTCCGGTCTTGCTGATTTGGATTTTCCCTGTCGAAAAGTGGGGATTTTTCCTCATCCCTTCTATTGCAATAAATTCGTTTTGTGTGTGAAAGACTACAATTTCCGAGCTTATCTTAACGAATGTGAACAAGGATTTGGTTTTAATGGCAGGACGGATATTTGCGATGTTCCACTAGAAGATGGGTTGTGTCCAGAAGGGGTGTTTCCGGTACCGGTTTGTAACACTTGGGGCCAAAGTGAGGCTTTACCGGAAAATCCGGCAAAATACTATGTGTGTGAAGAGTACAGTAGCTCAACTAAAATGCTTTATCCTGTCATTAATGTGTGTCCTCCGGGGGAAATTTATGATGATTTTCAATGTAGTAAGCGATTTTCAACTTCAACATTTACAACTCCAAGTACAACTTTAAGCTCCAAAAGCTCACTTTGAGTCTGTTTTAATTGGGTTTTAGGATTACAACTAATAAGTTTAAAATAAAATTATAAAAATAAACTGTAATTAGACTCACTTTTTTAAGTAAATGAAATTGAATGTGAATATTTTTTTTATTTGATTTGTGTTTTAATGTTTTACTTAATATTTTAAGAAATATTAATTATAAAGAAATAAAACTAAAATCAAAGCGTATCTAAAAACTAACAAGAGTAACAGTACCTAACACTGTCATTAGCTTTACGTAAGTATCAAGTTGCAATTTTTTTCATCTTGATTTTGATTGTGTTAACGTAAAAAACACTTTTTTCACTATTTTAACTCRTTCTGGATTTTCATATGAGCAAAATATTTGAAATCGTAAGGTTTTGAAAGTCGGTACAATTCAAATTTTCAGAAAGTCAAATTTTGTTTGTACTATTTT